AGAAGAAGAAGAAGAAGAAGAAGACTCGATCGCTAGGGCAATACTTTTATTCACCTGATGTTTCGACATCCGTCGCGGATTCACCATCAGAGACATGAGTACCACTACTGTTTCCTACTCATGTCACTGATGATGAATCCACGATGGATGTCGAAACATCAGGTGAATAAAAGTATTGCCCTAGTGATCGAGTCTTCTTCTTCTTCTCAATAACGAATATGATTGTTGCGTAATTATCAAGCCCGCATCCAACAAGGATGACAAAATCGCGACATTTAAGGACTCGGAAGCGAACTGCCAAGCCATCACCGCACCCATTACAACCCCCAGCAGTGGTTAGGGGAGCTGATAGTTAAAGTGTGCATGCGGTCGCGTGGCCGCTACGAACTATACGGCTAATTTGTGCATGTATCATCCTATTCTATGGTTATCTCTGATTAGGGGTTCTAGACAGAATCCAGAACGTCCGGCAAATGAAAATCTTGTTCCACGGATTGCATCTGAACTGCTTCCTGGAACTCGTTTATTCGCTTCTATGGACTGCGGAATTTATTGAAACCAAGAAATCTCGCGACTGCTCCTCAACTGCTGCTGTTTGTCACTGCGTAACATAAGGCCAAAAGTGACGCAACAGGCAGTTTCGAAAAAGCCCGTTTTTATATCTTTGCACTTTAAGGGTGTCGACATTTTAAATACTACAAAGCGACGCCTGAAAGGATGTACAATACGGTCAAGCTCATATTTTACGGTCCCATAAAGCCTCTACTAATTGTATGCACAAAGGACGCAGAATATGGCCGAGCTCATATTTTACAGTCACATGGAGCCTCTACTAATTCCATGCACAAAGAATGTCTTGCTAGTGCACGCCACCTCTAAGTGTGGCTATGAATTTACAGTATGCGCTAAAAAGCGCGTAATTTACATGAGGAAATTTGACTTGGTGCTTGTGCATGCATTTGGTCACATTATTTTGCTTTAATGAGTGGGTATAAGTCTGTGAAAGCCTTTAAGTTAGGAAAATCACCATTTTAGTTAGGTTTATTAAGAGAAACGGGCATTAATTCCGGCGAAATTGGGAGTTGTCTCATATCGAAGGAATTTCCTGTGCTATTGCGTATGACAGAAGCAAACCTATCATTAATTTGGATTATACAATGGAGGAACTCCAGAATAAGTAAAAAAGACATAAAAGATATCCTTTTCATATCTGGAAAATTTTGTCCGAAATTGTTAAGATGCAAGTGAAGCCAAGTTGAAGGAATCGCATTTATTTTCAGAAACAAGGAACTTTTCATTTTTTTAAAATTGTTTAGCTAACCTGTGAAGTTTCCTCGCACAAAATGCAGTAACAAAACTGTTTTCATCGTATTTTGTTTTCCGCACCGCTTTACTTGGAGAATAAGCAAAGTGCCCGCATATGTTACCGCGAAGGTAATGTAAAGCAGCCCTTATTGAATGTGAAATCATGTAGACATAAGTTTTTGTAAATTATACGTTCCGCTTCTGCGCTATTTAGAAATGGAACAGACAGAAGAATAATAATTATTTCAAAAATGGTCATATATATGGCCATTCTTTTTTGCATTCGGAAGCTTATAACAGATCCTGCAAGTAATCCACTATGGCGAAAAATAATTCATCATAAAGCGAAAACTGCGTTCTTTCATTATCATTCAAATTGGATCGTTTACCTTCAGGTAAATTTTGTAAAAAAATGTCAGAAGTCTCCAAATTCATTGCGAAATTACCTTGGAAAAAGTTAATATGCACAAAAAATTCGTCAGCTGAATATCCAATTTAAGTACCTTTTGAGGAGGTAAACTATTATAGAAAGTTTTTTATTAATCCTAGAAATAGCAATATCCGAGTTCTCTTGCGGAGGTTCTGTATGCTCGACAATGTGGTTTGCTTTTTTGAGGCATTTCTAAATATGATCCACATGGCCATTTTCATAAGAACTAATATTCACAAAGTCATTTTTTCGGTAAATGGTCTTTGTGTATATCTTATTTTAAAGGTTTTGATGTAAACGTCGAACAGAATAGCAATTGATAGATGAACAAATGAAAGCACTAAACATGCAGGAAATGATTCCAAAATGTTAAGGACGATATTAACTAACTATTTATCCATTAATGGTAATCTGTACAAAACATTTTGTCTAAAGAAGAGCTCTTTTTATATAAAGAAAGTGGTTATGTTAATGTTTCAGACAGTGGTGTCACAGTGGCGCCATTGTGACGTGGCGCAATCTGCTGATAACATCTGCAAGCGGGCTCTCCTTACTGTGACTGCGAATGCGGTAAATCTGTTGTTTTTTGCCCGCGACCTGCTGGCTAGAAGTTCGATACCCTGACGACAGAGCCACGCACTCTTTGGCCTGTTAGTTGCGATCAGTTATCTTAAGGGATAGTTACCGCTTGTTTTGCGGGATACACACACAGTGAAACAGTCATGAGTTTAATCCGTTTCCCGGACCGAGCTCGTCATATGAAGCACTTGTCCTGCGAAACGTAGCCAACTGAACAGAATCATTTCATTGATTGGCTGCAGGCGACCGAGTAACAACGCCCTGGGAGCGGAACATCGTCAATCGAAACACATGTTCTGCTAGTGGTTCGCTCATTACGTGAAATGCTCGTATATGGGGCTGCTTGTCATCCTAGGCTTCACTGTACTATGATCTGCACTACTGACGGATTTAGTAGGAAGGATAGTCCGCTAGGAGGTCAAATATGCGCCGCCGGGAAAACTGGCGGCATGCATGTTTGAAACAACTGTTAGGTCCTACCCTAAACCGACTCGCTCACTGCTCCCACGCCATACTACCGATCCGCGCACACACAATGCTCGTGATGACGCCTAGCGCTAG